TTTTAGAAATTTTATCAAATTCGGTTTAGTAGTTAAGTTTTTAGATCAAAATAACTAGTTTTGTCACAACTAAAGTCTTTTTTTTTTGTGAGACATTATTTTTGATTATACAATGTTATATCCTAGAAGCACTTTCCCGCAAACTTATTAAATGGAATTATTTCCTTTCTTTTTGTATATACGTTATTAAATTTTGCTTTAATTTGCTGACCTAATTTTAGGTTCGATTATGAAATTTTATAAAAGTTTATTAGTTCATCAGCAATATCTTCTTTATTTTTAAACATAGAATGCTTATACATTGGAGACGTAATCACATGGCACTATATGAACCTATGTATTATTTCGTATCTATGTTAGTACTGTTAAGTAAAAGGAATTGTAATAGTAGAATAGATAATATAATACAATCCGATACTATAGTAGGAAGTAGGAGTCATTTGAATATAACTATTTACATTGTAACTTTGATTTGAACATACAGTGCACAAATATCGCTACAGTAACAGACTTCAACAGCTGGTGAAAACGTTTATATACCTCGATCGGAGATACCAGATGAGTAAATAAAACAACAAACAAGAGTTTGCCAAGTCAAATTGAGTTCGACTGTTTCAGATTGAGGAAAGAAGTGTAACGTTTAGAATAATGAATGTTTTGTGGCTATATACCTAGCTAGCTCCTGCTATAAATAAATTACATCGACAGTATGCCTGTTGAAAACGTAATATGAACGAAAAAATCGCATGACTCATAATCAAAGCGAGTACCTAAATTTTTTACTCGCTTATTATATTCAATTAGTTTTAATCCGCGACTTTGTCCGTGTCACCGGTATAGGTTCACTGCCCGGAATAAAAGTCAAGACAAGTAGCCTAAATCATTGTCATACCATATAGTATGTGTATACCAAATTTCAGTGTTTGGTTAAGCTGTTATAAGGTGTGAAATTATATGGGGTGTAAATACGAGTAGGTATACTGTCTTCTGCATAAGTTTCACTTGTTTTATGCAACACTCTTTTATTTTTAAACCCAATAAATATTTTAAACAAGAGAGAATTGAGTTTTCATACAAATGTCAATTCTTATTGAACTAAGGTTTGCTTAAATAGGTAAAATATTCTTCAGTTACTACGTTTTACATCTAATAAACAATGACTTAAAAGTTCTATTAGAATAAAATGGGAATTGCAGTTACATACAGACTTATTAAATTCAAATCGCCTTTTGAAGTACCAATAACACTGAAATAAGGGTGGTAGAGTAAAATAAACACAATACAATTCAGAGACTTGAGTTATATAAAGTGAATAAAGTTGTTGAGTAAATAAACGAGCCACGAAGTGTAGACGGTACTTATTTATATAACAAAAGTTTGCGTTACGTGCGAAATAAAAAGCACAGTTCATGTCACACGTGAAACAAAACAGAAGTAATATTTTTATAATATACTAATGTTCTGCCCCAGCTTTCTACGGGTAGATAGAGAGAAAGATAAATTAGAATTTATATTAGTTTTAATAAGCAAATTTTTGATACTTTAGGTTATAATATTGTAATTTTCGTAGGGATCTCTAATTTTTTTTATATAATATATAATTTATGTTATATGCTGATAATGTAGCTTGCTATAGATGATATATTTTTTAAATTCTATTCATGTGATTGTTTGTATTTATAATAAGTTTACTATGTAATTTTTTTTAGGAAACAAGAGTATCTATCTATATATCTATCTAAAATCAATTACGTCGTTTTTTGAGTTCATCCAGTACAAAGAAACAATCAAATCTTTCCTCTTTACAATGTTCATAAAGAAAAGCAGATCGACAATTTTTATTTCCTCTTATTAATCATATTTTTTATACCACTGAGGTGGCAAACAAATACATAAAAATACACGCCTACCTGATGGTAAGTGGTTACCGCCTATGAATGCCTGCAATACTAGGGGTATTCCGCGTTGCCAATCCTGAAGAAACCGCTATTTAATACCAATACGCAAAAGCGAAAAGATTTTGGCCACTCTACCTATATTTATTGCGTAAATATGTTCAGAAAGTTGATGAAAGGACACTAACAAGGACGGTTCATCATTGGAACGGATTCTTTGATCTTGTAATACTTGCATAATGACTTTACCACTTTTGTTATGAGACCATTAATTGAACAGAAAAATACAATATATTTTTATTTTTTATAAATTTTTTTTTTTTATAACACAAGGGGTAGACGAGTACATGACTACCGTCGGTCATGATCATCCGCATCTCTAGAAGAATTGCGGCTGTGTTACTAGCTTTTTAAAAAGGAATATTCTTTTTTATTTTCTTTCTTTTGAGGGTTACGATGTGGTATCATTTGGTACCAAAGCGTGATTGTGCGTAAAAGTGCTTTTAAAAAGTGCACAATGGAAGACCACTACTATTATATATATTATTCAAATTGATTAAAGTTAAAAAACAATAATTAATTGAATTAAAATAACAATATTCTTTTGTTCAGGGTTTGCTGGAAGAAAACTCTTACAGAGTTAAGCTAGCCTGTTGCACATCTTTATTTTATATATATTATATGTTTGTAATTTTTTGTGTACAATAAAGAATAAATAAATAAATATTACAAAACTGGTTTCCTTATTGAATAATAATTCACTAAGGAAACTAGTTTTGTAATATTGTACAAACAGAAAATTTCTTTGAGGCAATTCGGAGCTAGTTTTGCAGAATACAGCCGTCTCTTATGGTCATCCCAGGTAATGTAACATAGTTGTTTTCTGCACAACTAGCTTCATTTATACTTCCATTATTCTTACAGACATTATTCTTAGTTATACACTCGTTAGACATAAGGCAGTAAGTCCGTTGTAACCTCTTTATCTTGCTTGTTTCAATGTTCTTTTTTGTCAAAATATTTTATTTAATTAAATCTTTCTTAGAGGTGAACAATAAGGAATTTTTATTAAAGCGTTCTTAATACGGTTACTAGTTACGCATTGAAAGAGAGATTTCAGTCGTGAGAAAATTAATATTGACTCGCTGAACAATAATCACTACGTTCAATATTGACTAGTAATCTCAATGTTCTTTGAAGATCGTTGATAAATTACGAGTAGGAGCTTTTAACTTTTTTTTGTCAATTTGCGAAAGCAGATGTTAAATACATGTTTAAACATCCTAATTGAAATCTTAATTTAAAGGAATTTTAACATACGTTTATGATTAAATATAAATAAATACCTTTTAATAAGAATGTCTGTTTTATTAGAAATGATCTGTTTAATTAAAAAGATGTTCAAAGTAACAAGTATATTATAATTATAATAGATCCTGGCACATCAAATTACAAATAGGCATTATTACATGGACTAAATAACGTTTAATTACTTTGTGAAATACTATGAATTAATTATAAATATTAGGTAACACTGCCTACCTAAGACAGTGTTTTGTACTACTTTTAAATTTTTTTCAAATTCAGAGTGCTAGATCGTATAAGTAGATTTTGCTCTAGAAAAAATGTTGTCTTCAATCGTCACAAAATAAATATAGATCCAATACAAGAAAAAAAATCTTATAACTGCAAAAAAATAATGATAAAATATACAAAAACAGTTTAGAATTGCCAAAATTTAAAAAACACGTAAAATACACGAAAAAAATGCAGATAAATTCAGTACATTCTCCTTTTGAAGTTGCTTAATTTTTAAATAAGCTCTTAATGGAATAAGAAAATACAACACACTATAAAACCTTATAATTTGCACACTTATTATCCTTATTTAATAAAACAGGAACGTGACAAGGATACGGATTAGAAAACTCAGTAGGATGGATCTCTTGGTTTATTCTTATCATTTTCTCCTCTTTAAATTAGATACAGTAAGTAAAAACATTCAGAGGGCGATGGGTTTTTTAAATATTTACTCATGTATCTAATCCGCAAATACCTTATATGTAAATACAAGTATACACACTCGTTCAATTAACAAAGAATTTGTTAAAACGAGATTAGCTGGAAATGGTTTTTGTTTATGCTAAACGTAATATACTTAAAGAGAAAAATTCTAATCAGATTTGAAATACAATTTTATTTATTTAAGTAGGTAACATACTTTTATATATAAATGTATTATTTCTCTGCCAAGAACCAACATCAATCGAAATATAAACGATGAAATATTTCTTAGATCTTCAAACACCACAAAATTAATGAGACCAACATTGGAGTAAATCCTTTCTCTTGCAAAAGAATTGTGAAAATCCGTTCAGAATTGGCGACGTAATTATGTAATATGGTCTCAGGAATAAAAAATTTGACAAGCTGAAAATCTCCTCTTTTAAACTTACTTAAAAAGGCTTTTAATGGTAATTTAAAAAAAAAATATTACATATATGCGTAGAACTTAATTGTATTTATGTATTTTTCTATAATAGTGACATGTATATAGGAAAAACGATTTTTTTTATTATTCTGTTACCGATTTATATAATGGAAATGAAATTGAGAATATTATTTACACTCTGAAATTTACGAATCAATTAATTCATTTTCCGATGATGTTGACTTAATATATTTCATCTATTTTCATACCATTTCTAGACATTTATATTTTTAAATGTAGCACATTATAAAGATGGTAAAGTAAGTAGGTACTTTTTTTTTTTTTTTTTTTTTTTTTTTTTTTATAGAACTTAGAATGGCAAACAAGCTGACGGCCCACCTGATGGAAAGTGGTAACCGTCGCCTATAGACATGAGCAGTACCATGGACATAACAGAGTATACTGTTTCGCCCATGATACCCCCCATGCGTTGCCATTCCTGAGGACTCAGGTGTTATTCCTCTGTACCCAGTAAATTCACGCCATATCCCACCCTTCAAACCGAAACACAGCCATGCAAACACAACTGCTTCACGGTTGAAACACGAATGGGACAGAGGTACCCAAGCAATCGACTTTTGTACAAAGTCTCCCTCCGGGAGACACTTACGTACACATATAGATACGCATGCATAGTGCGGCATTGGATGAAAGCCAAATTAATAAAACAATAACTCGTTTCGTATAAAAATATAGTATTCTTATTTAATTCAAGATTTTTATTCACTACTTACTTAACGAAATTGGTTTGTATCCGCTTACTTTAATAACGTAGAAATTGTAAGCGAAGTATTCTGAAAGTAAAATTTAGTAATACTATAATAATAGGCACTTAACCAGTTCATATTTTTTTGAGACTAGATACCTATACTGAATATTATTAACATTGCATTAATTTTAGCAAAATGAAAGACAAGCAATATTTTAATGTAAATCTCATTGATTAATCCTACTAATTATACAAAATTTTAATAAAAAAAAAAGTTAAAATTAAACATACATCTAATTCTTAATATACAACAATTTATTATGACAGCGAGAGTTGGGTATGTAAAAAAAAGCAAGCAGAGTAAATGCGGTTGAAATGCGAGCATTACGCAGAATTTGCAGGGTAATGTACCTATTCATAATAATAGTGTGTCAGCGAGCTGGTCAGAAAGAAAGTGTCGATGTTAAAATGAGATAGAGCATGCTACGGTAATTCGGACATGTGGAAAGAATGCCAGATAAAAGGTTGACAAAACAAATATACAATGCAAATGGGGATGTGGAGATAACTGGGGAGACCTACAGTAACCTATTATGATCAAATAAACCGTGTTCTTTTAAATAAAGAAGCCAAGAGTCTCCGGAACTGGTATACATGCATTAGACGAGTTATGAAAATACAAGAAGCAAAAGATGTATGTAAGGAGAAAGGTCTTTGGCAATCGGTTCTCTCTACCTACCCCGCAAGGGACTTGGCATGAATATAAATGATTCTAAACATAATTGATGATGTCTGATCTCATAATTGCTGTACTGATAAACATAATTGAGGATTTCATAGAATGCCTAAGAACATCATGAAATCACAAAAAAAAATCTTTTACATTTTATATTTAAATAAATTCAGTGGTAAGACTAATTATTACAATATCTTCAGTTATACGTCGTTTCACTAAACTGACTATTTGCCCCTGCTTGTGTATCTCGCATCACAACAGTTTCCTGCGACACAAATAGGGTCCAAGGATAAGTGCAGCCGTCACCTCAACCTTCCCATATTGTAAATGGCGGTAACAGCAGGGTTATAAGTGTCCTGATAAGCGAGAAATCTCACATAATAAATGGGATGTGTAAAAACATATTTCCCTTTAAAAAAGGTTACCTGTTGACAAAAGGGTGAGTAAGAAATATTTTGTAATAGTAATAGTAATCCATATCAGTATTTTAATGGACGTTAAATCCATTAATTATATCGAGGAAATTTAAGAACATAGGTATTGCCTACATAAATATAAGTAAAAAGTATGTAAAATTTTAAAGTCACTAATTTTAAATAATAAAAAATAATTAATTAATTAATAGTTGAAGCACTTTAGCTGCCCGCTAACGACATACTTTCTAACTGTATTAGGTTGACTGGTAGTTAAGTCCGCCCTTGTTTACAACATTTATATATATGCAGACTATTTTAATTATAAACTAAAATAGTCTGCATGGATGCAACATTTTAATCATATTCAGAAGTTTGAGTACGAACTCGGCTTTATCTATATATATATATATATAGATCTTTGGACGAGCATTCACTGATTTACAAACTACCTAGAAACCTACTCGAAACTAGCAGTGATACCGTCTTATAATATTAAATGCGATTGCAAACTACAACTAAGTACCATCAGGTAGGTAGTTACCTCAAGTTACCTACAAACATTACCTTAATGGGGTCGAAACTGAGACGCCTTTTTTCCAAACTTATCTTTTAACACAATATTTTAATTTAGTAGATTCATAGACCATCATAAATGTTGTGTGGTCCCATGGTTGTGTGGCATAGAATGGACCACCCCTTCCTTTCCTGCGGGTGTCGTAAGAGTCGAATAAGGAATCTTAATCGTCGAAGGATGGGAAGCAGCGTCCCTTTTAAAACATCACCGTAGGCCTAGCTGTGGTTGCCAACTCGCCTGTCAAACGTGGCAACTACTGGTATTATTTTATATTATACTTTATGGGGGAAGTATATGGTCATCATATCAAACGTTGACAGTCAATGTCTGATATGATGATGATGAGACTGTCATAAACTAAAATTATAAACATTTTGACTTAAATATGCTATGGATTTATTTCATATTGATCCTTAGAATAAATTAAGCTGTGATATTAAATTGAAATTTTAATATTCGAGACAGGTTTAAAGAAATGATGCTTCTGAATCAACCCCATTATTATTTTTGCGACTATGTTACTAAGCTTAAATAATTGCTTATAAAGCGTAAAATATTAATACTGTGTGATAAAATTGATTATATATCCCTTCCGAGATTAAAGCAGTCACCTGTGGATTTCTATAACGTGGCACTGGCGTACTGCCAATAAACCCTCATAGGCGTGTTCGGACCACAGAATAATTACGCAACAATTTGACCTGAAAGTAATCCGCCGTTATTATAGCCCAAAACTATTTATAAAGAGAGAAATATGATACGATTATGAGATTAAAATTAAGAAAAAAAAAATATATAAACAGTAAATTAATGTAAAATATTGTTTATGTTCCTATTGGTAAATAATTACTTTCTATGCCTCTGATGTTGTCTGTGTGACCGAGATTTGGTATTTATTTTTTTTCGTCATGACAAAATATTATCTCCTGTGGTCCCGGCATAGAACAGGTCACCCCTTCCTTTCCCGTGAGTGTCGTAAGAAGCGATTAAAATATCTCCAAAGCCTAACTGCGGTTGCCAATTCGCCTGTCAAGCGTAGCAACTACTGGCAAAACTAGGGGGAAGCTTATTATTAGTAATGGATAGTTAGAAGCTAATATGATGGAGATAAAATATTGGCTATTTCTGACTCCACGCGAAATACTATTTTATTTGCTAAATACATTTCATAATGATTAATTGGTTTGTTTAAGAATGAAGAGGTAACAAACTATTAACTTAATTTTCACATTTGTTGTATTAGCCTACTAAATGTAGGTAATTATTAGTGATTGCAATCAAAAGTATCTATAAGTAGATAATCTGCTCGATTTAGTGGCGATTTTTTCATATTATTCTGTTCCAAACTAAAGTCACAGTTCGTTAAATTTCAAATGATTTCTTTTTTTTTTTTCACCAAAATCTAAAGACTACTATATTGGTTACGCAACATAACGCAGTTCATTAGGAAATGAAATGAGGTCTCGAGTTGCCGAACAAACGCGGCCATCCATTCAAAGCGATAGACTACATTCACAAAGGCCTAGTCTTTGAAGTACCGCTCCACTGGCAGACGACAGATTTATAAGCAACTACAGTTAATATTATATAGGTATAAAAGTCCTTACTAGTGTCGTAAATGTTAAATAGTTTGTTTGTGCCTTAACAATTTAGTTTATCGTCATTTTGGCATACACAATTTGCAATGAAGAATGACGTATTCTACTAGATTAAATAGGTATTACACCTACATAAGCAGTAGTTGAGAAGAAATTGTTAGTAATGGGGATTAGTGGTCCCAAGTCCACCACACTACTATCCACTCTATCAGATCATAATCCATGCGATCTACCCTGGAACCCATTGTGGTTAATTTTTGATGAATTGACGTCATCATTATTCAGTGGTTCTTAATGAATAATGGCAATTGTATCGGGGATTAAAAGAAATAATAATTTTCATATACACAAATAATATTATTTATATTTATATTAATACTAATGGTTTTGTGAAATGATATAAATTCTAAGTATGTATTCATCAAAAATCTAATTTCAAACAAGTACCTATTCAACGAAAGAATAGGAATTATATATCCTTCAAAATTACACTCTGCCAACTGAATTCAAATATAAGACGATTATGAAGCAAGAGATCCAATAAATTTCCTAGTAAAGAATTTCTTCAGTAATAAAATGGTAAATTATTAAATGGACAAAGCGTTTGCATAATTAAAAAAACATAGAGGTTTATTTTATTTGGTACGTAATAATAAAATAAAATTCTATAGTTTGAAAATTTGTTGATGACTGATATCGTGTTAGAAACAATATGACGTTATATATTGATGAAGTTTGACATATAAATAGACAATAAAGTATTCCAGATAATATAATATTAATAAGTTTATTATACATGTCCAGAATACTTTTTACCAATTTATTAAAAAAATATTCGAATAGTCATTAATTAAATTTTTGACCATCATATCCTATTAACATTATAAGTGCGAAAGTTTGTAAGGTCCATCTTTACAAATTTTCCCTAAAAAATAAATGAATATATCACGCAAAAACTACTAAACAGTTTTGAATAAAATTTGATATACAGGTAGGATATAATCTTACTTTGCACATAGGATATTTTACGCACTAATTTATGTGGGCGATGTCGTGGGATACAGCTAGTTTATTGTTTATGTGTAAGCCCACCTATTATTAAAATTACCGAAAACAAAAAATGTGGTAAAAAGGAAAAAGTGCTGTCACATTAAATTTCCCCTACGTCGCGTTACGACTAAAAAACATCTAATTTATTTGCCAAACAACCATATACCTAATGCCCTGAATGGAAAACGACCTAAACACGTAATGACGTAAACTTTCCCTCCCTTCTCGTAAGCTATATTATTTAAGTTCAGCCGATGATGACTGTTCTCAGTAACTTTAATAGTACCTATATTACTGTCAACACAGACATTTTGGTGTTAAGTTCAGAACGGAAGCGGCCGAATAATTAAAAAAAGAAATGCCAACCGAGTCTTTTTTTAACCAAACAATACCGTTGATTGCTACTTCGGCAGGGACTTGAAAAGTACTTACTTTTTTTCCAATTCGAGAAGAAAAAACAAAAAGAATGAAGGAAAAACAATGAAAAGCAAAAGTTTCATTTATATAATTATTAAACGTTACATTTCAGTTGGTAAAACAATAGAAAACTTGATAAAATCTAATTATCCTTACGATGCCTACAAATTTTCACTAAACAACCTAAAAACTGTGACAAGAAAACATTTACACGAAATAAAGTACAATAGGGATATCTTTTTTTTTTACTTTGAAAAAGAAATACCCATTCAATTAATATAAATAAATGTAATTACTTAAAACATAAAAAAATCTCACAAATAGGTACTAAAACTTAGTTAAAGGTAGACTCTGAGAGTAACAATAAAAAGGAAGTTCCATTATTATCTTGTTAATTATAAAAACAGAATACTTATGTTTGTAACAGAATACTTAAAACTGTCTAATAATTTCCATTATAATAGTGTTGGGAATTACTTGAAACTAAATTAAACAATTTCGAAGTAACTAGACTTTCTCCTATTTGCTTTTCTACTCCGCGCTGTAGCTGGCACGTAGCTTTTGATTCCTGTTTCCGTAGACAACTATTGTGAGGTGAACTTCGTAGTACAGCCTTTAGTTTAGTGTAGCAATCAGTATTGTAGTTTTTATGTTTCCTTTTTCACTTTATATATTGTGTGATATCGCTGTTTATACAATGAAAAGCGAGAATTTTATTCCCTGTCCTACAAAAATCCAATCTCATCTATTACTCATCCCGTAATAAACGTGATTTCGTCTTTGTATGGGCTTCTATTGTACTTAGAAAATTTATGAGTAGGTATTTACGTATACATTCTCGTAAATTATCCTATATGAATGTACTTAGATTTGTTAAGCTAATATATAATCTTCTGCCAACTTTTGTTTTGTTAATATCCACAATTGAGTAGGTAATCATGTCACATTAGCCATTTACTATCTACTGGTGAATATCTGAAGGTCTCCCCCATAAGGAAGGTTTTGCCAGTAGCTGCCACGCTTGGCAGGCGACTTCAGTGATGTTTAAAGTGAGGGCCTGCTGCTCATTCCTCGACCGATTTAATTTAATTATATAGGTAAAAAATATTTAATATACTTATTTTTGTTTAATAGTATCTATTAAGAAAAATGTTGAAAGCAGACTTGACGCTGTTAGAATACACCCACTACTCCAAACGGTCGAGTGTGTATTTTGTAGCCCACTGTTACGAGGTAAAAACAACCTCTTGTCGCTAATTTGCCGAAAATTATGCCCTTGCGATGGACGCTGAGGATACTCAAACGTAGAGAAAGGAGTTCGCGATCTCGACTGAATCAACCTTATTTCACATTTATTACTTTATTGGAATAAACAGATTGATGTAATTTCATTGTTTTTTTTTTTTTTAATATTTAAGATATTGTTCATATATCAAATGGAGACGTATCTTTAAAAATTCATTTTACTTGTATCACAATTTGTTACAACTGGCAGTCTTTAAATAAGTTTTATGAAAGACTAGTTAAAGGAAAATAAATTTTGAAAGAAAATATTTCTCTAGAGATTTATTGCATAACTTTAGACACGAAAATTGCTAATAAAATAAATGTTATTATGTATAAAACACATTTCATTATCATATTTCAGTATATTTCGTAACACATTAAGTAGGCAATACTACTTAAGTATTATAGGCAGATGTGATTATAATGACCCAAGTATTGCTAATGTTCCGATACTTACAGCGATGAGGAAGTTTTTCACTTCCAATCTGAGAGAGATTGAAAGTCTAAACGTGGTGTCGTCCAGCAATCTTCCAACATTAGCCAAAGGAATGAACTGTAACCACGAACCACATTCCCATTTGTAAATCCAGTTTCCTTGCAAGTATGCGGGCGCACTCAGCAATGCCCTCGAGTAGCGAATTCCTGTTTAGTTAATTAATTGGCTCATTCTATTTGAATATATTTACAAGATTATAAAGTGATTACAATAAATACAGAATCATACAAAAAAAATTATGTATGCAATTGTAAATGTTATGTTATACGCAGTTGAAAACGAATTTTCCATGGAGCAAATATATGCGAAGTATGCTACAGAAGAACAGTTTATTGTTAGATCGATTGTATGTGAACCGTTGCAGACTCTTGCACGAGACGGTGAGACAAATGTAACATAAAACATTAAATATACAGCAGTGAAAATGTACATTAAAGTAAACAGTATGACGAATTTCCATTTAATCAACTAAAATAAACAAGTCTGCTAGTTTAGTGAAAGAGGTTTTCTGCACTTACTGCATATTGTAGGGACATATTATACTATCTAATATGTAGTATATTTTAGAGCCATAAATACGAATATATAAGAAAAAGTTAATTATTTTTTAAGCTGCACAAGATATTGTAAAACAATAAAACAGTTTTAAAAATACATCAGTTGCTATATACCACGGTATATACTTGGAATGGCATTTTTCATAGTACATAAATGAAGGATAATATAAAACTACACTTGGTAAAAAAAAATCGTGTATTATATATATATTCCCATATATAGAACTTCCGTTCTATTCATGTAACTATGTGTTTATATCAAGTATACATTCAGTAACGAATGTCAATAGGACGATGTTCACATTAACTGTTGAATAATTAAAAATCAACACAATGTCAAACTTGTTTCATTAGCTTGGCACAATGCACGGCTGCTATATGTAATGTATGTGTAGCGTATATTAACATTGTTGGAGTAGGTAGAGATGTAGTTTGGAATTCCCAAATACAGTACACATAGGTAGTTTGGTTAGCCGTCCGTATTGTTTCAACGTGTGACGGTTTTAGTCTACTAAAATATGCACAGTATGAACTACATCGGAAAATTTTTGAATAAATCTAACCCTGTATTTTCAACTATTGCTCTGTATTTTTAGCTGAGTGATGTGACTTCAAAACACGTCGAATTAAACGGTTAGGAGATAAATTTTTCAACTTATTAATTTTTATGTGTATTATTTTAGTACCGTCAAAAAGCAGCTAACATTATATCGGAGACAGAGTTTATATAGTACTAAGTATATTACCAAGCCTTCATACAATATCTTCCTTATATTTGATTAACAGTATTTCTTTTATTGGATTGGTTATTAACTCGAAATCACATTTGGGTATTCATGATAGGAAAACCTTTTCTTGAAGAACATAAACGAAATATGACAACAATTTTACATCCTTTTTATATATGCGAGGAAGTTATGTTTTTTATATTTTATACAACGTAGAATAGCAAACAAGCTGACGGCCAAACTGATGGAAAGTAGTAACCGTCGCCTATAGACATGAGCAGTACCATGGACATAACAGAGTATACTGTTTCGTCCATGATACCCCCATGCGTTGCCATTTCTAAGGACTCAGATGTTATTTCTCTGTACCCTATAAATTCACGCCATGGTGAGACCATTCAAACCTAAACACAGCCATGCAAACACAACTGCTTCACGGTAGAAACACGAATAGGATAGAGGTACCCAAGCAATCGACTTTTGTACAAAGTCTCAAGATTTGATTTGAAAACTTATAAAATGATAAAATAAATTTAACACAAAATCTTATAAAAATGTAAATACCTATTAAATAAGTAATAAGCTTTGTATTTATTTCAAATTGATTGACCAATGAAATGTGGTGCAAAAGGCGAACTTAATGCTGTAAGCTTCTTTAAATTGCCTATCGTGCTTTAGATTTAAGAAAAAAAATATCCTTCTAGTAATATTTATTAACAGTTGAAAATATTACACAAAATATAAATATTCTCAAAAATTATATGTAGTCTGTATGGTAGTCAAAATAAAACCTGGCTATGTGACTCATTAGAGCGTTCTTCGTCATTGTAATAATTAAATATTTTTTATGAATTCTTGTATATATTTACAAGTACTTATTTACTCACCTATATACCTATTTATTCAGAAATACATCCTGACAATGAAATAAGATCTTTATAAGTGTAGTATAGAGTGGAATTTCAGACTCCGGGAAACTCGAAAAACATTTTAGTTTGTTCCAAATCGATTTATTCCATCACGAGATTCTGGCGCCACACTTCAGACATTTAGATTTGTTGTTGGCAAGTAAAAAAGACGAGTAGAAACACATTCACACTAAAATACCTATTATTTGTCACCGTCTCTTTATTCCATACGCTCTTGTTATAGAGGTCATGGTCACTATGTGGTGGAATAATGGGTTTAGGGTTTGTATGTTGAATAATTATAAAATATACCTGTTTATAATTAAGAAAAATGGAATTCATTTCAATTAAAATTATAAATAGTAATTTTTGCTACGTGTCGCTCAATCACTTGAATATTAGAAAAGGTTTGAATGTAATTTATTGTTATTTTCGAATAAATTTTACAAGCAATTACGACATTGGAAAATTATAGACGATGTTTTTCTTATTTTTTTTTTTATATAATAATATGAAAATTTATCATTGCCAATTAGTTATTGCTTTTTTTAGTGAGTTACTATCATCGTATTGTTTAATCTTTTATATTCATACGACTTTACGAGGTGAATTGGCTATGGTGAGCCAAATGACTCGACTTCACTATCATCACTCACTGATAGTATATTAGATATTAGTAAGAAAAAAAATCTTACTAATATTGTAAATGTGAAAGTTAGCGGAGAAATGGTTTTCTTTTGTTAAATTCATTCAAGTCATTTAAGGGTGATTAAGTACGACTAAACGATTAAACGACTTGACTTGAATAAAATTTTATACAAGGATAAATTATATCCTAACTTGACACATTTATTTTATATGTATACAGATGTACGAGGCAAAGCCACAGAATACAGTGTATAGTCCCCTTATATCGTAGGCATTTATTAGATAAGGATATCTTGAACGGAAGAAAAGATAATGGGTCCCTCGCAGTCGAAGCCGAGGTAAACAACCAGTATCTGTAACATTTAATGATCAAGAAATCTAATGGCTCGGAGAGACCATAGATCACCGCAATAAAACCTCTCGTGCTAATTATATTATCTTGGACCCTCATATAGCAGTAGGCAATGTTGATTTAGGTAGGCACTGTGTGATTAATGTAACATTGGGGCCTGTTTAAGTTTATTTAACCAAAACCTTTCGTTATACTAATATATCAAATATGTTTGATTAAATAGCTCGAAATTTTAGACATAGTTTAATTTACTTTTACGATTTATTTGGAAAATTACAATATTATTTATCTTTCAACAAAATTTAATACATAGGCGTCATGATTGTACGTAATTTATCAAGTTCGAATCTGTTCCAATAGTCCACAAATTACTTTGATAGGAACTTACTTTATTCGTATAAATATTTGATTCGATACAACACAGAAGGCAAACAAACTTTAATTTCCCTCTCGGCTTGTAAAGCAATGAAAGTCTAGAGTGTAAATAACAGTTTGTAGGTAATATATTAATGTATCTGTAATGTAGGTATTGTATTTAGTATACATTTATTGAAATGAGCATTTATTCAGTCAAATTTTAGTCAAAAATTTATACTCGAATTAACTTTATAATTTTAATTCATTGTTAAGTTTTAGGTTATCGGGTTGATGCACATCACGTAGACTTTAGTAATAACCAAATAATCGCTAATTGGATGGTATATGTACTGCAGAAATCAAACAGTCACATATCCAAATAGAATTAAGATAATCATCATCATCATCATCATTATATTAGCCGTTAACTGTCCACTGCTGAACATAGGCATCCAGGTAAGGGCGGGGGAGTTGCCAGTAGTTGCCACGCTTGGCAGGCGGTTTCACAACCACAGTTAGATTTTGTTTGCACATTATTCGACCATTAAGTTCTCTTAGTCGCCTCTTACTACACTTACAGAAAAGGAAAGGGTGGCCTATTCTATATCGAGGCCACACGGCATCGAGAGACATAATAGATGTTAATAATAGCCAAGTAATCACTAATGCGATGTAAACCAATGAACTGAAATATGTTTCGAACCCATTATATAACCTTATACCTACCTATCTAACATAAACATTTTGCTCCTAAAGTTTCAAATATTTCTAACTAAACACGAATGTTGGTTTGAATAGTTTTGTAGTGAAATTTTAACTTCACTACTGAAACTTTTATCAACCCTCGACCAGAACGGCTAACCTAGTTTGATAAAGAATTTTCTCAAATAATTGAATGCATAACGCCCTTCATCATTATCATCACCTTCCTATCCTTAACACAATTAGGTATATAGGGGGAAAGGGATTGTTAGTAATGGAGACTGAGAATCCCATTGCTAGCAATATACCCAACCAGGTCGACCTCCTCGCGGTTCTTTTTGGAAACTATCATGGTTAATTCCCGATGAATTCATCATGATGGGCTAACTGGCCTGTTTTCATTCTCATCTATCACCCCTCACTGGTGCCCCGCCAGCGTTAGCGCAAGCGGGGTTACCATTCCATTTTCATCCAATAAAAAAAAATTAGGTATATAAATTTTGGAGTCAGCGTAATATATTTTTGTCCATACTATTCAATGTTATCTCCATTAAAACAATGATTGTTCATTTGCGCTAAATTGGTATGATAGAAAAATAAAAGAAATCACAAAAAGGGAAAGAATATTGTCCCAAAATTGTGACACTGTGATAAGAACTGTATCCATTACTGTTATTGTTTGTATATAGTCACTTCTTCGATTTTATAAGTTAAAAATTTATATAAAACATTAGTGTTATAATAATGAAAGTAAATAAATGTATTTTATATTTATTTTTCTCTTTTTAGTATTTAAATTCCGAAAGTCTGATTCCTTCTTAAGTTTAGATACTAAATTGAAAATACAATCACGTTCAATGGCTAGGTAAGAATACGTGTTTACAGCACAAGGGA